AATAATGAGTGGGTGCTTTTCTGTTTGACTTAGATTTGCTTCAGCAATGCGGCCACCCACCCTAAGCAAACCTTGGTTGTCTAAGAAGGGGTCCAGATTTTTGATGGGACTGCCCTTAGGAATCTCCTGTTGCCCACCAATGCACCTGATCTCCTCAGAGTATGCCTCTCCCTGCACAGCTCGGATGACACTGTTCTTGGCTTTCTCAAACTCTTCCACTGTGACTCCAGTTCCACAACGGTGCCAACCTTTACAAGAACCGTCTTTATTCGTGGTTGATCTAAAAGCATGAACAATGTGCAACAGACGAGCCATAGCGCGAAGCAGGGAACTCCAATGAGAAAACCTAGTGAATCTTTGGGCACCAAGTAGATTTGTCCTGATTGTGATTTTCAGAGTGGAGACCTGGGGTCTGATGTCCGTGTCCGAACTGGGTTCGACAAGGTCATAGGTGTCTTGAAGATGGCTTTGCTTGTCTTTCAGCAGGAATTTGGGGCCAATGAACCAGTTAGTGAGCGCAAGTTGATGTGCAGGAACAAACCGTGTTGCAAGATCAGCTGGGTTCTGGTTAGTGGGGACATAATGCCACTGACTTGCTTGTGAAGACCTCCTAATTCGAGTTACACGATTACTAACATAGACATAAAAGCGCCTGGTCTCATTATAGATATATCCCAGGACAACCTTACTGTCTGTATAGAAATGAGTGCTATTCAGCTGAATGTCCAGTTCTCCTGTCACCAAATCAGCCAGCTCTACTGCTAGCACAGCAGCACAAAGTTCCAATCTTGGAATAGTTTGTTCAGGGCGTGGTGTTAGCTTTGCTTTCCCCATGACAAAACCAATTTCACAGTTCTTGTCTGCATCAGTTACCTTCAAATAAGCCACTGCTGCAATGGCTTTAGTTGATGCGTCACAGAAAATGTACAATTCTCTGTGTGCTGCTTCTGTTGGTGAGATGTTGGTGTACGTTCTGGTGATCGAGAGGTTGGACAGTGCACTCAGTGACTCTCTCCAAAGAATCCATGACTCTTTCCTTTCTGGGGGCAGCGGAGTATCCCAGTCACTGTTATCCTCAGCAAGCTCCCTGAGGATAGATTTGCCCTGGATTGTGACAGGCGCTACGAAGCCTAGGGGATCATAGAGACTGTTTATGGTGGACAAGACACCGCGTCGAGTGAAGGGTTT